ATCTTGTTCGGCTTATCGAAGCTCTGCCGACACGATGGGAGACCTTCAAGTTGTTGGAGGAATCAAGAAGTTGAACAACAAAAATTACAACACGTGGGCGACATGTATGAAGTCTTACCTACAAGGCCAAGATCTTTGGGATGTCGTCGGCGGTAATGAAGTTACGCAGCCAGAAGAAGACACTAGCGGCGCTTTGAGGAAGTGGAAGATCAAGGCAGGTAAGGTCATGTTTGCCTTAAAAACCACAGTTGAAGATGACATGTTGGAGCACATACGGAAGGCCAAGACACCAAAAGAAGCGTGGGACACCTTCGCCACACTCTTTTCAAAGAGGAACGATACAAGACTGCAGCTTCTCGAGAACGAGCTATTATCAGTGGCCCAAAGGGACATGACGATTGCGCAGTATTTCCACAAGGTAAAGTCTATTTGCCATGAAATTTCTGAATTAGATCCTAGTGCTGCCATTGTAGAATCCAGGATAAAAAGAATAATTATCCATGGATTGAGACCCGAATATCGAGGCTTCATTGCCGCTGTACAAGGATGGCCAACCCAACCATCACTTGTTGAGTTCGAGAATTTGCTTGCCGATCAAGAAGCTTTGGCAAAGCAAATGGGAGGGGTCTCGTTAAAAGGTGAGGAGGAAGCGCTCTACACCAAAAGTAAAGGCAGCTTTAAGCAGCGTGCTGGTGGTGGATCTAAAAGAAATGGTGACAAGGAAAAAGGTCATCAAGGAGGAGGGAGTTCTTGGCCAGGGAGAGCTCCGAAGTATCACGGCAATCGTGGTCAGTCCCAGAATAATAAAAGATTTGAGGGCAAGTGTTACAATTGTGGAAAGAATGGTCACATGGCGAAGGATTGCTGGTTCAAAAGGCCTGCAGAAAGTAACGTCGCCAACTCAAAGAAGAAAAGTGAAGATGATTGGGATGTCATTGCGTCTCTAGCCTTGGAGGAACAATGGGACGGTGAAGCATCTATTGCTACAGAGAAGAAAGAGTCAGCTCTCACAGCAACAAGTCTGGAGTCAATTGACTACCAGAATGATTGGATCGTGGATTCAGGCTGCTCAAACCATATGACAGGTGATGAGAAAAAGTTACAAAGTCTGACTGAGTACAAAGGAGGCCACTTAGTGGTGATGGCTAATGACTCGAGGCTACCAATTGCTCACATCGGTAAAACAGTAATTAAGCCCTGATACAGCACTAACCATGTGCCACTTCAAGATGTCTACCATGTTCCAGGTATGAAGAAAAATCTGCTTTCAGTGCCGCAACTGACGTCGTTGGGAAATTATGTCTTGTTTGGTCCACGAGATGTGAAGGTGTATCGACACCTCAAGATCTTAGGGATGCCAACAATGGAGGGACGGCGACTGCAGTCAGTCTATGTAATGTCAGCAAAAACTGCATACATAGACAAGACAAGGAAGAACGAGACAGCAGATTTATGGCACATGAGATTGGGACACGTTAGCTATCACAAGCTAAATGTGATGATGAAGAAGTCAATGCTTAAGGGGCTACCTCAGCTTGACGTGAGAATAGACACGATTTGTGCAGGATGCCAGTATGGTAAAGCACATCAACTACAATACGAAGAGTCAAAGTTTAAACCGAAAGAGGCGTTGGAGTTAGTTCATTCTGATGTGTTCGGGCCCGTCAAGCAACCATCGATAAGTGGGATGCGGTACATGGTGACATTCATTGATGACTTCTCGAGGTATGTGTGGGTTTTCTTTATGAAAGAAAAATCTAAAACATTTTCAAAATTTAAAGAGTTTAAGGAGACAATTGAAGGAGAAGTAGGAAAGAAGATCCGTTGCATACGCATAGATAATGGAGGAGAATATACCTTGAATGAGTTTTCCCAGTATCTACAAGAATGTAGAATACGTCACTAGTTCACCTGTGCCAATACGCCACAACAGAATGGCGTAGCGGAAAGAAAAAACCGGCATCTTGCAAAAATATGTCGAAGTATGCTCCATGCCAAGAATGTACCAGGAAGGTTTTGGGCCGAAACAATGAGAACTGCAGCTTATGTGATCAACAGACTTCCTCAACCCAGGTTAGAATTTGTCTCACCCTTTGAGAAACTGTGGGATATGAAACCGACAATTAGTTACTTTCGAGTCTTTGGCTGTGTGTGCTACGTATTTGTTCCAAGTCATTTACGTAGCAAGTTTGACAAGAAGGCAGTCCGATGTATCTTTGTGGGATACGACAGCCAAAGAAAAGGGTGGAAATGTTGTGATCCTACGAATGGAAGGTGTTACACATCACGAGATGTGGTGTTTGATGAAGCATCTTCTTGGTGGTCCTCAGAAAAAGAGGCGTTGCCTGATTCAAGAAAGATAGAAGATAAGTTGCAGCAAAAGATAGGGGAGCAAATTGTTCGAATCCAGTCGAGACCTGATAAGTCTGAAGATTCGCTTGATGATGATGATGTTGAGCAAACAGTGCCCCAAAACCCTTGCCAAGCTGACATATATCAACAACCAGAAGAAGATAGACCTAGTGAAGTGGAAGTATCAACTCCATAATCACAACTAAGGAGGTCAACAAGAATCTGGAGGCAAAATCCTAGATACGTCAACGCAATCATAGAAGAAGAAGCAACTGGACCTGAGTGCTTCAAAGTTGAGAGAAGAGGTCGATGCGTTAAAGAAATATCAAATTTGGGATCCAGTGGCAAGGCTAAGAAATGTGAAACCCATCTCATACAAATGGGTGTTCAAGATGAAGCGTTGTCAACCCAGCGTAAAGTAAAGAATGAGATGGTGTTGAGGGGGAGTGTTAAAGCAATCAACCCCATCTCATTAAAGGACCTACACAAATCTAGAATAAAGAATTCTAGAACATTCACTAAGGTTGGTTAGCTAGATTATCCAAGTTAAAGTAGTACTTTGTAGAAATGACTAGAATGTTGTTTCTTAAGTTGGTGGAAGAGTCTAGAAGAATGGTGAGGTTTCCACCAACATGCAAGATTAGTGTAGATAATTCTAGCTTAGGAAGTTAGTGGAATTATCTAGATATCTCTAGCATAGTGTGTCCATGCTTCTCCAAGGTTCCATCCATGCCTATAAAAGGAGAAGGCATCCACACCATTTGTATCAACAAAATCAACAACAAACCAAGCAAGCAAGTGAGTGAGAAGAAAGAATAGTCTTGTAAGAGTGTGAGTGTTCTAGAGTTTGTCTCTAGAAAGTGAGTGAGTGTCATAGCTTCTCAAGAGTGTCTTTGATAGTTTGTGTTGTAATAGTTTGTTTGTGTAATACAAGTAATTTGTTTACTTGTATTGTCTCTCCAACACTTGTGCTAGAGTTGTGTACTCTAAGTTTTTTTTTTCCAACAGTCTAGTGATTCTCCTACTACCATCCTTCAGCTCGAGTCTTCTCCAGATTCTCCTGTCTCTACCGAGCCTTCTGCACTTCTTATTGCAACACCTTCAGAGTCCCTTTCTGCACCATCTGTGCCTCTTGCATCTCCTACACCAGTGCTTCGTCGCTCTACCCATCACTCCTCTCTACCTCTAAAGTTGCAAGACTGTGATTGCCCTACTCTTAAGCTTACCCATCTAGCTTCTCCGTCATCTTCGTCATCTGGTCACACTACATGTACATGTTATCCACTTGCTAATTACCTTACTTATCATCGTTTCTCACCCACGCAACAATCTTTTCTTGCAACTATTACTAAAAAGGTTGAACCCCAGACTTATGTCGAAGTTGTTGCTTCTCCTCATTGGTAGGTTATCATGGCTTCCAAATTACAAGCCAACAATACTTGGACTCTCACTACTCTTCCCGTTGGCCAATCTCCCATTGGTTGTCGTTGGGTCTACAAAATCAAGCATCATTCAAATGGCTCCATTTAATGTTATAAAGCTCATTTGGTTGCCAAGGGTTATACACAACTTGAAGGTATTGACTTTCATGATACTTTCTCTCCCACCGCCAAAATGATCATTGTTCGCTGCCTCTTAGCTCTTGCTGCTTCCCATCATTGGTCCCTCCATCAACTTGATGTTAATAATGCGTTTCTTCATGGTGATCTTCATGAAGAAATATATATATGCTTCCTTCTCCAGGTCTTCAGCGACAAGGGGAGAATTTAGTTTGTCGCCTTAACATATCTTTATATGGATTGAAGCAAGCATCTCGGCAATGGTTTGCAAAGTTTTTCGAAGCGATTCAGGGCTGGTTTGGTATTGATGTGCTTTGAAAAAAAGTTGCTTCTACTGTGCTATAAGAATAAGCAGCTATGAAATAAAGCAGTAGAGTGTTTGGTAAATATTTTTGTAAAAGTGCTTTTTGAAAAAAAAGCAGTATGATAGTGTTTGGTAAACTTTTATGTAAAACAGCTATAATTGTGTAAAATGACCAAAAAGGGTATAATATTACATGTGCTATTAATTTAATTTTCTTAACTAATAAAGGTGAATTACTAAATATACTTTATTTTTAAAAAAATAATATTTATAAACTTTATCTTAAATATTAATTAGTATGACAAACTATTTCAATTGAAATATTTTAGACTGAATAGCTAGGATTCATTATTACAATATTGTTAATGTACTTGAAGGTAGTCTAATTAGATGCATTCATTAAACTTGCTGTTATTCTATTTCTTAATGCCTCTATCTCATGTGATCCTTCAACATTATCTTTTTCTTCTTTGATTTCTTATCCTTGTCCTTATCAACCTCCTCAACATCTCCTTCCTCTTCCTTCTTGGTTTCCTCTTCTTCATCGTCGCTGATTTCCTTCTCGGTAGTCTTCTCAGTCTAGAGATAGATTGGATAGCTGATGAACTCAGAGTGCTTCTTCACAAGGTCCTTGATCTTCCTCTCTTCCAAATACTCCAACTGATCACAACCCAACAAAAAATTAGTACCCAATTTTTCTCTTTAATCATATAAAAGAAATATTTAATCAATTAGCTTGGTTCTTTACCTGATACTCCTTAAGGAAAAGGGTGATCTTGGTGCCTCTACCAAGCTGTTCGCCGCTGACATCCCTTGTGACAATGAAGGAACCACCAGCCTGTGACTCCCAGATGAATTGCTCATCGTCGTTGTGCTTGGTGGTCACAATAACCTTCTCGGCAGCAAGATAGGCAGAGTAGAAACCAACACCAAACTGCCCAATCATGCTTACATCAGCTCTGGCTTGCAATGCTTCAATGAACTCTTTGGTTCCAGACCTTGCAATTGTACCCAAGCTGTTCACCAAATCTACAGAAACCAAGTGCAATCAGCTTGACAGCTTATGAACATAATCATAGATGATTAGTACTTAATTAACATAACACCAAGCATAACTAACCATTCCATTTTCAATGTTTTGATTTCTGAACAATTTTAAGCGATTACAAATACAATAGTTTTAACCAGGGGAGTCAGCTTCAATACAAGATGCAATTTTTACTACCCAAAATCTCTACGTGAATCCATTTTGTAGGATTTTCTTGGAAGCCAAGTAGATCAATAAGTGAACTAAAAGAAGTGAAATTTACTAAAATATTTACCTACTTTGGTCATGCCAATTCCACTGTCGATGATGGAGAGGGTTTTGTTGTCCTTGTCAGGCACAATCCTGATGAAAAGCTCCGGCTGAGCATCGAGCTTGCTTTTCTAAGGCTCTCAAGTCGAATTTTATCCAAAGCCTACATAGATCAAACCAAATTACATCATTTCCAAAATCCTACAAATTCCTGGTCATGCACTATCGCGGAAACAGATTTCAATAGAAACAAGATCATTGAACACAAATTGGTATACATTTATTTGGTTACTTAATGCTAGGTTAATGTTTAGGTGGGAAGAATCAAGCAGAAACATGGCTATAAGGATCAATGGCCATATAATATCATAATATACACAGAAGAGTCTGGAAAAAACAAAGGCAACGCATGTTTAGCCTATGAAGATCCCTCTGCTGCACATTCAGCTGGTGGATTTTACAATGGTAACTCTTTTGCTTTTATTCTGTAGTAAGATGATGTTTAAGTCGTCCTATTCTAACTGGGTATTGTGCTTACAGATTAAAGTCGTCCTATTCTAACTGGGTATTGTACTAGTGAAAGCCTTCACATTAGAAGTCTAGAATTAGAAAAGTTGAAGCATCTCTATATCAAGTTTCAATCAGTGACCTAATCATTTCTTCTTCTTCTTCTTTTTAATTAGAGGTTAGTTTATTAATCCATTATAAGAATGTAACCCTTAACACACCACCTTACAGCACAACCTGATGACAACCATGCACCACATGCATCCATGTTCACGAAGGCACTCCTCTTGTAGTTGAATATTCGTTCAAGATTTGTTATTGAAGAACCCATCATTCATGTTAATTAATCTAAAAATCCACTCTAACTAATTGCCAATATCCAATACATGACATATATAATATGACAGATAATAAGAAAATCAAACAAAAAATAACCATCCAAAACACCGTTGAAGAAAAATACAAAGCAAGAACTCACCAGTAAGCAGGATGTGATTCAAAATCTTCCAATTTCCAAACTTTCCCAATAAGTGGCTCCAGAATCTGAAACCAATTCCCAAACAATCAAGAAAATGCATATAATATTCTTGGAAATGCAGCAATGCAAAAAAATGCAATCAGAAGTGTCCTTAAATTATAGTAAATTATAGAACCAATAAATTAATGAAACCCTTAGATATATGAACCCCAGATTCGAACAGATCTACAAAAAAAAATTGAAACAGGAAAAACTTAAAAAAGAGACTCTGGAATAGAGTTTCATGCTTAACAAACAAAGCAACAAAACCCATAAATCAAATGTCTAAAACAAGCTCTTTAAACCCAGAAAAAGCTATTAACCCAAAAAAAATAACCCAGAAAAGTTAACACATTTTCCATAAAAAAGCAAAGAACCCAGAAATTCATAAAAAAACAACAGAACCCAGAAAAGATAACGAGAGAGATCGACCTGGAGAACGACAGAGATCGCTGGGAGGAAGGAAGTTTCAGGTTGGAGATCGGGTCTTGGGGTGACGAGTTAGGAGTTAGGAGTTGGGAAGTGAATGAGTGGACGGGAGGGAGTGAAGTGAACGGGAAGGAGTGAAGTGAGATGCCAGAGCAAGGAAGAAAAGTGAGAAGTGAGATGCGAGAAGGTAGGATGGCCATTTGAAAATTTTCATTAAACGGTACTGTTCACCCGTGTTTTCATAATAAAAAGCTGTTTTTTGAAAGCAACAAATAGTTGCTTCCACTTTTTAGCTGTTTCTGGCGGCAACTTTAAAAATAAGTGCTTTTTTCTGGGTTACCAAACACAATTCAAACAACAACTTTTTTTCATCCCAGCTTTTAAAAAAATCTAAGTTGTCCCAAACACAACATCAATCTACTGGTTATGTCCAATCAAAGGCTGATTATTCTTTGGTCACACGGCAACAAGGCAAGTCTTTTACAGCACTCTTAATTTATGTTGATGATATTTTGATCACTGGCAATGGCCCTAATGCAATTGAGGCTCTCAAAACATTCCTTAATAGTCGTTTCAAGATCAAGGACCTTGGTGACTTGAAATACTTTCTGGGCATTGAAGTGTCATGTTTGAAGAATGGGGTTTTCATTTCCCAACGTAAGTATGCTTTAGAGATTTTGAAGGATGGTGGTCTTTTAGGAGCTCGCCCAGTTGAGTTTCCTATGGAACAAAACCTTAAGCTTGCAGACAATGGTGAGTTGCTTAAAGATCCGGTACAGTATAGGAGGTTGGTGGGCCAATTGATCTATTTAATGATTACTAAGCCTGGCATAACATATTCAATGCATGTGTTAAGTAGATTTATGCATGAACCTCACCGTCCACACATGGAAGCAGCTTTTTGAGTTTTGAAATATATAAAGAATACTCCTGGACAAGGTTTGTTTTTCTCCTCTAAAAATGACTTGACCTTGAATGCATATTGTGATTCAGATTGGGCAGGATGCCCTACGACATGGAGATCAACTACAGGGTATTGTGTTTTTTTGGGCTCTTCATTGATCTGTTGGAGATCAAAAAGACAAAAGACCATATCTTTGTCATCAGTTGAGGCCGAATATAGAGCCATAACTGGAACCTGTTGTGAACTATCATGGCTTCGATATCTTCTAAGGGACTTGGGTTTGTTGCATCCAAAGCCAGCCTTATTGCATTGTGACAACAAAGCAGCCCTTCATATTGCTGCTAATCCAATTTTCCATAAACGTACTGGACATATAGGTATGGATTGCCACTTTATTTGAGATAAGATACAAGATGGTTCCGTTGTCACATGATTTGTTCCCTCTTCACACCAACTTGCAGATGTGTTCATGAAAGCATTGGAGAATGACACTTTCTCGACTATTATACACAAGTTGAGAGTTCTTGACATCCACTCTCCAACATAAGGAGGAGTGTAGAGAAGTCAACGATATCATTCCTAATATCTTGGTTTCGTTTAGGAAATAAATTTGTAATTGATTTGTATAGATTTATTTTCCTGTTGTATACATAGAATGTAGGATAGTTTACTTCTCTATTAAGAGTTCTTCTTTGTATAAATGTCTTGGTATCAATAAAAGAAAATCACTTCAGCAAAATATATTTTACTCTATTTTACATGCTACATTAAGGTGGAAAATCAGAATCAGAAAATGTACTGGGTTTTAGGATTGCTTTGACCAACAAAACGGAGTTGTGTTGATATGATTTTACTTCTTAAAGGTTCCCCTACTTCAACTGGCACAAGCATTTCTGGGATTGACCTTATAAAATCCAACCACAACCTTATCCATAACTTTGTTCACCAGTGGCAACATACTATGAAAAGATCATATCACTGCTGGTTCCAACATGAGAAGATCATATGCGCATAATCTCTTTTATACTTGTAGACATTGAAATTTTGGTGAAATAAATGTCACCAATAACTTAAATTTTGACTCACTAAGACCATCTCCAATCCAAGGGAAATCTCAAATTCTAAGTGAAATGTCATTTAATCAAATTTAAAGGTAGGAATAAACTCCAACCGGTATGTCAATCCTATGTGGATTGACATATGAACTTTCATGAGAAAATGTGATGTCAATTTTTTTTTTTTGGTAAATTACATTTTCCCCCCTCAGGTTTGTGTGCAATTACAACTTCTTACATCATTTTTAAAAAATTTCAACCTCATACATTTGTATTTCTTCAATTTCAATTTCATACATCTGTTAAAAAATCTATTAAGTTAACTGTTAAGTGATGAATCAGCAAATATGAGGTCATCATTTATGCTGATGTGGCTGCAAACTTATGCCATTGGCTAAACAATTAATTAAAAAATTAAAATTTCATTAAAATAATAAAATAATAAATTTTAAAAAAAAAAATCCCAAATCTTCATCTTCTTCTTCCCCCCGAGCCACCCCTTCTCTTACCACCACCCCCTTCCCTACCCAAGCCGCCCTTCTCCCATCACCACCCCCATCCCTCATCACTTCTGCACCAACAAGCTTCTTCCTTCAGCACCACCACCATCAATTTTGTCCCACCTTCCTCTTCTGCAAAGCCCAGAGCAACCCAGAAAACCCCAAGTCATGTCCTCCACCCCACCTCACCAAACGACTCGCCACCCACTACTCAGCTCCACATGTCTTACTTAACTGGGAGGAGTTTGGGGACTTCATCGCCACACAATCCTTGGAGTAACTCGACTCGGGATCATGGCACCCAATCTTCGAACCAAACCTCCTTCAAGCCTGACCCAGCCATTCACCATGACATTGCGCTCATAGACGACAACATTTTGGAGATCAAGGATGAGCTCGACTTGAGCTCCTAGCATCTCTAAAGATGACTAAGGCCTGGAGGTTTTTCTGAGACCCATCATTCAATTGAATTACTCGGATTTGGGATCTAGGGTTTCAAGCGTAAATGTGGAATTCGGACAAAATTAGATGCAAAAATGAGGAATTTGGGATTTTTAGTTAGAGAATGAGGTGCGAAAGTGATGGGAGATGGGGTGATGATAGGAGAAGGGTGGTTCGAGTAGGGCAGGGGGTGGTGGTAGGAGAAGGGGTAGCTCGGGGGGAAGAAGAAGATGAAGATTTGGGATTATTTTACTTTTAAATTTATTATTTTAATATTTTAATATCCAAATTAAATTTTAATTTTTTTTATTAATTGTTTTGCTACATGGCACAACTTTGCAACCACGTCTACATAAATGATGACCTCATATTTGCTATCTCATCACTTAATGGTTAACTTAACAGATTTTTTAACGGATGTATAAAATTGAAATGAAATAAATACTAAATGTATGAGGTTGAGATGTTCTGAGGGGGGGAGAAATGTAATTTACCCTTTCTTTTTTTTTTTTTTGAAACGAAGATGATATCATTAAACTAGGAATGCTTACACTGGCTCTTAGATGAGAAGGTCTCGAATAACTGTTGGAGGCTCCTCAATCCAGATAGTTTTGAACGCTAGACAATGCTACCTTTGCCAAATGGTGGGCAATTCCATTATTATTCCTGGAAACAAAATTAAATTTTGAGGCATTAAATATAGCTGCACTATGAAGTACGCCCCCCTCTAACAAAGTCGTGGAAGCACAATCCACACAAGTGTTGATGATGGATATGGCTTGGGAGGAGTCACTCTCAATTCGTACCTTTTGGAACCCCAAATGTGATACCAATTCTGCCCCATGAAGGATGGCGTGCATCTCTGATGAAGTGGCGACGAGATTGCACGCAAAAACCATGCCCTCGTTGCCACAAAATTCTCCTGTGCATCCTACAAGACAGCACCTACCCCACCTACCTTGCCCTGCAAATTTGTCGCCCCATCCACACTAAGCCATACCCAACCCTCTTCCAACACCCCTTCTTCTATCCTATGGCTGCCCTTATGCGGATTGGGCAGCCTTGTTGTTGTGCTACAAACCCGAGAGCCGCAGCAGCCTGAAATTCCTGCCACCATGCCATGGCGCGTTGCGCCACCACCTCTCTCGACCCATGCTTTCCGCTCCAAATCCGATCATTCATTTCCTGCCAAAGATGCCACTTCACCATACAAGCAAAGTCGAAAGCAGGATTTCTGCGTTCTAGTAAAGTTAAAAACTACTCTTTGACGGTATGGCCGGGTATTGAATCAACCAAGAAAATGAATGGGACCGCAAACCATGTGGCTCTAGCGAAATGACTCTTTTAGAACATGTACCTCTGCCTCGGGACCCCCATTACTGAAGACACAAATCATATTTGTCGATACTCTTTTCCTTGATAAATTTGACTTTGTTGGGAGAATGTTCTGGCAAGTTCTCCGCACCAAGTTCCTCACTTTCAGCAAGACTTTAGCCCTTCATATAACTTTCCATGATGGAGAGAAAGGGCTACCACTAGTGTCTGAAGAAGAAGCACTCACCGATGGGGTGTAACATAATCCCATGCGACTGAATAGGCATTCTTCATTATGAATATCACACGAACACTATAATGGCAAATTATTTTATTGTGTGCGTCACATTAATGCACCAATTATATATCTCAAAATTGATTTTTTTTTAAATGGATTCTACAAATATCATTTACAAAAGAAAAAATACATATAGGTTAAGGGAAGAAAAAAAATATGACATTGTTATGTCAGCCATCAAATTAACATTTGACATTTATTTTTGGAAAATTGACATCAATGGACCATGTTCTTAATTTTGTGACCAAAATAGGATTTTTAGGATATGTATAGAACATGCACATAACATACATAAGAATGTGACAGAAATAGGATTTTCTTAAAACTTGAAATGACGAAATTGCCTCCCATATAAATGGTTATTTCGTCTAACCCAATCAACATTTACTCATGGTTTGAAAATTTCTCTCGCTTGACCCCCAGCTCAAAGAACCCTAAGCCCCAAACGGCGCGACCTAAATCCTCTCCAATTTTCCAACCGACACCCAGTTTCTAATCTTTTATATAAGTTTCGCGGCCAATGCGAGTTTGGTATCCATCGATTCAAACAATTGTAATGGCAAAATAAAAAAAAGAGGTATGTTTTGAATTGAATTTTCATTATTTGAACTTAGGTTTTCCCAATTTGGGAACTCAGGGTTTTGGGTGCAATTGACTCTTTTGTACAGTTAATTTGGGGAAAATTAACGGATTAGGCTTTAGGGTTATGTAATTACATGAAAGTTATCTATTTTTTGTCTATGTGAGTCGCAACCTAAGCGGGTGCCTAGGTCGGTTTGGGCAGGCTAGGTGGGTGCCTTATCAGGTCTAGGCGACCTTTCTTAATTTTCAAACACCTAGGCATTAATCAAGACAGTGGCCAGCCGCCCCACCTAGGCAACACTAGACGGGGATTTTTAGAATAGTGGTGCATACTGTGTACGTATTTTGTGCATGTGCTTTGATATTGCTGGAAATTAATTGATTAAGTTGTACTTTGGTTATACAGTGTAGACGGTGGGCATACTTGCTTGAATTCAATTCATGACTTGGTTGAATTTGTGCATACTATATACATATCTTGTGCATGTACTTTTGATATTGCTGGAAATAATTGATTGAATTTGGTTCATAAATTGGTACATATTATGTGCATATGTACATGTTGGGCATACTTCTTGAATTTGGTTCAAGAATTGGTTGAATTTGAGCATATAATGTGCATATACCATGCATATCTTGAGTGCATGTTATATGTTATTAATTTGATGTGCATATAGAACCTTATGTTTGTCATTGTTGGATTCAAAGGCTCTGTTAAAAATCTTGCAGGTTGAAAGTCAAATCTTCTCCACCTTCGGAACTCATGTGTCCGCCGAATGAAGTGTTTCCTACCACCATTTCCTGCCTATCATACACATTGGGGTGTGTGTGTAATATAAGAAGCCAATTTTCAAAACAGCTCAAGAAAATCAAGGATTCTTGTTTCGGTCATTTGGTTGACGTGGACCACATCAATTCGTTTGGCCAATCACTACGCCATCCTTAAGGCTATTAAGGATAGAGTGATTAACGATTCCATATCCCTTCTATTTGGGAAAGATGTCGCTAATAAAAAATTTAAAGCGCCAATAATAATTTTTTGTTTTTATTTTATTTTCTCGAAACATCATAATAGCGGTATATATATGTTCCATATAAATTCTCCAATGTCAAATTTTGATTCTTTGTTAATAATTGTAACTTCATATTAGTGTGTGGGTCCTTCTAAGTTTTATCCAACGAAGTTCCATGTAAAGCAATCTTTTTTTTTTCCCGGAGAAAAGTTCCGTGTAAAGCTTATTAACACTAACTTACAATAATCATAAGATGACGTGTTAGTATGCGACAAAATGGAGAAATGTTTACAAAACCACATTCCATTTTTCTATCATTAAAAAACTACAATAATAGCATATCACGTGTCTACTCTGCAGTGTATTTCATCAGTATGCTCCTCTTGAGGCCAAGATTGACTGTAAGTAGTCAACCAACTTCAACTGCTTAACATTATGTTTGGAGGCCTTTCGTGTTAAATGTTTTCTTTGGTCTTTGGTTGCTTGCAGTCGCGTTTAGGTTGTATCGAGCGGGAAGAAGTATCTTCATGTGTTTGAGACTGAACAAGTTCTGTCGTTTTGATTCATCATAATTCTGTCGACGATTAATTTGTCTGTTGTATTACTTCTACGGCTCTACCTAACAGCTGCAGTTGCTTTCAGGTCAGCCAAATGGTAGTTGCTACTTTGTCGGAATCCGGCATTCAGATGCCAGATGAAACTCTGGAAGCTGTCGTCGATAAGGCAAGAATTTTGGATGTTTAAAACTTCTGTTTCTTTACCTTTACTCTGAAGTTTCACACTATCAAAGTTATGTTTTCTTGCTCAGACGTTTGAGGATGCCGACGCTGACAGGGAGGAGAAAATTAGCAAAGACGATTGGAAAGCTTATGCTATTCGGTACCCAGCACTCCTAAAGAACATGACGCTTCCATATTTAAAGTACCTTTCGCTTACTGTCATTCCTTTGTGTTCAACAATTTTTCACATTCTTCTCCAATCCATTTCTTCTCCTAAACGTGCTGTAATTATTTTATTGGCACGCCAGGCACATCACAACTGTTTTTCCAAGTTTTTTCTTCAACACTGGAGTTCAACACATTGTATTGCTACCGTAAGCCGGATAATCAGAATCAGAATCCGCCAGTGACCCGAAATTCATCTGTCTCTCTTGGTCTGATTGAACTACCAAAATTGAATGTTCATAATTTATGCCCATTCATTCGTTTTCCCGGTTAAATGATGTAACCGAAACCGATGAGAACAATTTTTCTGCCCATTTTGAGACAACCAGGAGTGCACAAGAGCAAGCAGGAGTTCCAAATTACACCCTTCTTTTCGGGGAGAAAATTAAAATTAATCTAACATCAACTGCAAGTCTGAATAAATCTCGTCTGTTAAAACCAATTCCAGACTCGCAAAAGGAGAGATGAGAAGCAAATACTGATGACACAGAAAAGAGAAAACAATTGAAAAAGAAGAGCTGCGATCCATCATTTTTCCAGTTTTATTCTATACAAATCCTAAAACTTCAGCACTGTGAACGAGAATGCGACCGGACGAGAGATGCCCCGATTCAATCCCCGATTCGACGAGTGAAAGTGAGACGGAGGGCAAAATCCGTGTTTACACGCTCCAACAAGAGACATGATTCCTCCATCTGGCCATGTCGAAAAATCAATTGTATGACACTTTTCTTTGTCAAAACATCAAGTTGCCTAGCAAGTGTATCTGGACTCGAGTAAAGGAGATAGGAAGCAGGCACTCAATAGCAGAAATGACAGCCTGCACGATGCTGTGAACACGAAAGTTCCTTGAAACAAGAAACAAGAATAACGTGTACAAAATAATATTTTTGTGTTTAATGATTTTGGGGTTACGATCTCTCTCTAATTTGGTCCTCTTATTCTATCTTCGTAGGGTGTAGGTTTGTGGATGAGTTGTTAATCCAAAGGGCCGTCGGGGCTTGATCTAAGGATGAACAATTGATGAACGGATGAACACTTTCTTCAAGGGCCGTCGGGGCTTGATCTTGAATAATAGTTGTGTGGATTTCTTCAAGGGCTTTTGGGCTTGATCTTGAAGGTTGATGGATGAGCGGATCTTCAAGGGCTTTTGGGCTTAATCTTGAAGAACGATTGGATGTGTGGATTTGTTGAGGTTGTTGATCCAAAGGGCCGTTGGGGCTTGAGCTTAGGATGAACGGATGATGAATGATGAACGCTTTCTTCAAGGGCCGTTGGGGCTTGATCTTGAATAATGGTTGTGTGGATTTCTTCAAGGGCTTTTGGGCTTGATCTTGAAGGTTGATTGGATGAGCGGATCTTCAAAGGCCGTTGGGGCTTAATCTTGAAGAACGATTGGATGTGTGGATTTGTTGAGGTTGTTGATCCAAAGGACCGTTGGGGGCTTATGCTTAGGATGAACGGATGAACACTTTCTTCAAGGACCGTCGGGGCTTGATCTTGAATAATGGTTGTGTGGATTTCTTCAAGGGCTTTTGGGCTTGATCTTGAAGGTTGATGGATGAGCGGATCTTCAAGGGCCGTTGGGGCTTAATCTTGAAGAACGATTGGATGAAGAACGAAGAGAGCTTTCTTGATCCTTCGGAATTCTTGGGAATTTGGATGGTTGGAAGCTTTGGAGTTTCAAAGCTTCAAGGATTTGGGGAATTCCTCTTCTAGTTTTGGAGTAGAGAAATGTATTTGTGAATTCCTTGATGCTTGATACCTTGATGGAGAAGTCTATTTATAGGCTTTGAGAATGAATCACCACCACAAAAATATTTTTTTCCTTTCCAAGCACCATTGCCTAATTTTCCCACTTAATGCAATATTGAAATTGAAGTGGTGTAACTTATGGCCTAATTTCCCACTTAATACCATTTTAAACTTGAAGTGGTGTAACTTATGGCCTAATTTCCCACTTAACACCATTTTAAACTTGAAATGTGTATGCTTTGTCATTGCCCAAATGAGAAAAACTTGCTTTGATCCGTAATGGATTGAAGTGTGCTTGCCTTGTCATTGCCCAACATGAGAAGAAAAAGTTGTTTTGATCCTCAATGGATTGAAATGTACTTGCCTTGTCATTGCCCAAAATGAGAAGAAAAACTTGTTTAATCCTTCAAGGGTATTTCTTCCTATTTTGTTGAGTCACACGCCATGTGTACAATTTGTACAACACGTGGCGTATGCCATGTATGCCTTGACACGTCAAAACTTTAATGCATTGGTAAACATTTGTTTTACTGAAATTTCGATGTCTACAGATGCATCCTTACACCTTCAAGTCTTCGACAACATTAATAATCACCAATTTCAACAACTGGGGTAAGAGATTTGCGTCCATCATTCATCAATCTTTAAGTCAAACCAACCTCCTGTATGAATCACATTTACTTCTATTCTCCTCCGGAACAGCAGGTTACTCAATATTTATTTAACGCATTTGAATACGTGCCTTCCATCTGCAGCAAAAGGAGGTGAAACTATTAGTTGAACATACAGCTAACTTGTGCAACAATATGATAAGTAGGTAAAACCATCAATTAAAGACAACTCATCACAACGTTATGCAGGCAAAACTTCCGTGAAAACTATGACAAGCATCCAGAATCAACTGATCATAATTCACCGCATAGGCGAGGTTATAGCAGTATATGGAAGGCAATCAACAAATCAGCAAATCAATAACAATTTCAATAGAAGTTACGGAATTCGGTCAAATCTATCTTAGTTACTAGCAGACCATACAACAAACACACTCAGCTAAAACTTCTCAATCAAAATGTTCTTTAATCTAAATCTTCAACAAACACTCCACCCAAGCTGGCCCGCTGGGTCTGTCTGTATTCAGAAAGCAATTTCTTTCACTTCCAATGGTGATCAGACTGTTGGGCAATAACCATCTAAAGATTTTCCTCATTTGAGAATAAAGACGACACTCATGCGGCTACGTTTAGGAATATAATTATCAAAGCTTTTCCCATGTTAGCTGTCCAGTTACAAGCTCCAAGACCAATCATCATTGCAGTATATACTATAGCTTTTCATCATTAAATTCTGTAGCCAGCAGTCGTATCTCCAGAGGACTTATGCCATTGTCTGATAAGTTCACAAACATCAATTCCTACAATTACAAGAGAACAATGAAGACCGTCTAATGGAATAACAAAAGAACGGCCCTATACTTCTCCAATCAAGATAGATCCCATCTCCAGACTCAAACTAAAATTTTCAGTATAAGAGGTGGACCCGTAGGCTGCTTCATTCGACCAAGAAAAATACTCCCATTTCCCTTCTGACCAGATCTCACTCTTATCATTCTTTATACAAAATTCTATACCTGGTAAGTGGTAACAAGTCCATTCAAGAGAGTAGAAGCACGACCTCACCTCATTCTTTATTTGTCTCATCAGCTTTTCCTACGCAAGTTCTTCCAGTAAATCAAACTGAGATATTAACATGACCTGCTAAAGGTATTCTCTAAAAGAAGCAACCAACTAGAGACGTCTCTCTATAGCTAGTCTGAAACTAATCTCCTATAAGCCCTAATAAAGCAAGAAGGGAACAACGCTCCGCATCACAATGAAACAATAATTCCCTAGAAAGTTTACGGTAAATCAGTTGAAGGTAGTTGTCAAATCTAGGAGAAAGAAACAATTAGTTCTAAATAAAAGCAATACAACCAGTAGTCAAGGATATAAAAGCGGCAACATAGAAGGACAAAACCTACTATGTCTAGCTAGGGAAGAAGATGAAGATTCCATAACCATGAAACCCATAAAAATAAGACAGAATACTTGCCTATAAGTTCAGATAAGTAGCTCGCCTATGGCAGGCCACCATCCTTCCTTGAGGGATAGTCCAGCGCCATCTCATCACATGGAGCTCCTTGCCATATTGTGGGGGTGGCTAGAAATATCTTGATGATGGAAGTTGCAGATCCACATCTCAAAATCAGGAACAAGAAACTTGGCAACAAGACATGAGAAGTAGCAAGATTGCATCACTGACCAAGCTCCTGAATTTTAAACTATGCTGGATAGATGCAAGAATATTCCTAATCCATGAATCTTCATCTACTTGTAACTGAATATAATTTATTGATCTCCACTCTGCCACCCACGTCCACTGTAACGAAAAATCGTACGAATCCACATATTGGAAGAAGAACACACTGTACATCTCAGTTTCAATAACCAAGTTCAAAATAGGAATGTAAGGCTTCAACATCCAGCCCTTTTATTTGGACACAATTCCACCTCTGTATAAAACATGTCCTCTGGCTAAGAATTACAACTCCCAATTATCCTACTGAACCATAACCCTTAAATTGGACTCTAGATAATTGCCGGAGAAGTCTAACTTGGCTATTTAGAGCATAAATAGGAACACTAGAGAGTGGTCTACAGTACCTTCACAATATAAATCACTTCAACCAAGCCCCAGAAAACTTGAACCTATACGAACAAGCCTTTGGTACACCCTCTGTTAGAACATCATATCAGGGTGCCCATGCACCGCAGATAAATATTGAGAACAATACACCAGATACGACTGTGCTGCAGAACTACTGCAATGAGGGCCTAAGCTGGCCACATTCCAAAATCCATTATTCCAATACCAGCCAAAAGATATGGGTACTACCAGGAACTTCTCAATGGTGCATAAATTTCATCCATGTTTGAACAGAAAAATCTAGTGCTTATCCAAAGAGCACTAATCCAGAGCAGCCACATAAATATGATGCTGTGACAGAGCTGCAGATGTTAACCTGGCAAATAAACCATATGGAATTCTGGGGTCCTAGTCAAAATATAACCTACAAATGGAAAAGCCTGAACCTTACTTCCAGAGCATTACAACTTCTTAGGCCCTAGCTACCCACCTAAAAGAGATCACGACTCCCATTTAATTTATGAATACTTTCATGTATGCAATTTTCTAAACCCAATAACTTCATATAATGGGAAGCTCCACTTACATCCTAAAAAATATTCAAGAAAGATTATTTGTTAGCAAGTCATCACACGATAGAACTCAGAACTCACATCCAGTAGATTTCATCTGATCACGCAGCAACAGGAAATGTTGTAATTTTTGTGATGCAAAATCGCCAGCATAGCTCCTAATCCTCAAATAAGTATATACTCCACACCCAGATAAATTGATGCATAAGAAGTAGCTTTATGTCCAACTCCAACACCAAAACCAGCAAGAGGGAATTTCCAATAAATAAACCCACATCCCAGCAAATTGAACACCATATATGTTATGTTCATAAAT